AGCTGAACACATCTGCAAACTCCTTGCAGACGTCTGCTAGGGTCTCCGTTTGCAATTTGTGCAACCCTGTTACCTGGATTCCTAAGGCCTCGAACCAATCGAGTCCAATCAGACTCGTGCGCTCACCCCCAACAACCAGCACATCTAAGGGACCTTCAAAATTCTTAGACTGTACCTTAAGGGTGGCCTCCCCTTTAACACACACCTTGGAATTTTGAAAGTCAGTAAGAATTACATTAGAAGGCCTGAGCGTAGTTCGCTGGCCACTGCTGCTGCAGATTTTGTGGAATGTGTTGAGGGAAATTATGGATAGGGCAGACCCCGTGTCCAGTTCCATAGACAATGGAACCCTTTGCAACCTTACTTTAAGGGACAATTTCTTTTTAAGGGGTTTGTGTGTGCCAATCCTTAATATATTTCTGCGTGTTGCACAGAAACCCACCCTGTTTTGGCTGGGGACCCTGGTACCTTTTAGATTCAATTCTTCCTTCGGTTGTACCTTCTGTCGACTCAGACAAACAGTTGCGATGTGGCCTTTCTTGCCGCACACTCTGCAGATGGCAGAACGGAACCGACATTCCGCCCGCTTGTGGCGACCTCCATATCCGAAGCATCGAAGCTCAGCGGGGCCTTTGTCCAGACGATCCTTGGGCCTCCTCCTGGCTGCTTGATGAAGCTTGTCCACTTCATCTTCAGGATCCTCTTCCGAGTCCTCCCACACGTCCTCCTTGTGGATGGTTGCAGTCTCTGGAGCGCTTCGAGTGGGCCGCAGATTCTTTAACGCTCCGCCTGCAGCTTCCTCTGCCGTAACCTCTCGCAGAGCATCTTGGAAAGAGACATCTTCCTTAGCAAACAGCTTCTGCTGTAAGTCTCTGTTCCTCAGTCCGCATACAAAACGATCGCACAGCCTTTCTTCTAAATCCTTGAACTCGCACAGTTTAGCTGCTCTTCTCAAGGCTGCAATAAATTCTTTTGCTGATTCCCCAGCTCGCTGATCTCTCAGTTCAAATGTGTGCCTCCACGCAATAACAGATTGCTTGGGCTGGAAGTGTTCTTTCAAAAGTTTCTTTAGATCAGAGTATGAAACAGCTTCTAGCGAGGCCGGGGCGACTAGATTCTCGGCGATCTCAAAAGCGTCTTGCCCACAAACGCACAACATCGTGGCAGCTTTTAGTCCATCTTCCCTTATCTGATTCACTCGGAAGTAAGTCTCCACCCTTGCAACGTAAGATTCCCATTTTTCCGGGTGAGAGACATCAAATTCAGATAAACGACCGATTGTCGCCATGATCAAGGGACAGGGTTTTCTTCAGTCGCACTCACCCTCCAGCGATGCTGTACTGGCAGGATAGACGCTAACTTCAACGCCGTCGTCCCTCTTCCAGACTTCTTTTGGGTGAGTCTTAAGCTTCCCTAGCTAATTAGACTAAATCCCACCTTCGTCGCCAGTGTTAAGTCCGGAGATAAATGGCGAAGGAGGCAATTCATGTTACAGAACAGATCTTTATTCTCACTCTCTTACAACTACCAACCAACAAGAGCAGAGGCACGCAGGCCTCTTTTTATACTCCCAGATCCCCGGGCAATCACAACCAATAGCAGGCAGTCTTTTCCCGCCTTGCGCATGCGCGCAAGGCCGGCGCCACTCAGTCTGGTCCCAGGCAGCTTTTGCAATGCCCGGGACTCTTGCATCGTCCCGAGCCTGCTTCTGCAGGCTCAGGACACAACAATTCTATTCCACCATTTAGAGCCTTGGTGGCGCAGGGGTTAGAATGCAGTACTGCAGTCTACTTCTGCTGACAGCTAGCAGTTCGACAGTTTGATTTTCACCGGCTCAACATTGACTCAGCCTTCCATCCTTCCGAGGTCGGTAAAATGAGGACCCAGACTGTTAGGGGCAAAATACTGAGTCTGTAAACCGCTTAGAGAGGGCTGTAAAGCACTGTGAAGAGGTATATAAGTCTAAGTGCTATTGCTATTGCTATTTATTTGATATTACGGTAACTCTTGCCCCACAGTGAGTTGTCCCACAACAACTTGGCCATGGTGACTTGGCTGCAGCGAATTGTCACAGACCCATAGGAGGTGCAGTCACGGGATCATCATTAGGAATCTTCCCCACCAGCCTGCCCGTGCTGTAGCACCCACCTGTGGCCCCTGCCGGCCCACCCACATTTAGTAATGTTTACCTGCAGGACTCACCCATCTGCAACTGTTATCTGCCAGCCGGCTTGCCTAGGATTCCAATCACATGAGGTCCGAGATTGCCATCGCTAAGCGATGCAGTCACATGACATTGTACTTTGTGACCACATTGCTTAGCCATTCCAATCCCAGTTGCCATCATAACATGAGGACTACCTGTACACTTAGGGAAGTGATGGAGAAAGACAAGGATTGAATCCAACCTAATCCAAGTACAGGTACATATCTGGGCTGATATCATGGTGATAAGAGGAGAAACAATGTTTCTCTATTGGCAGAATGGTGCAGTGCAAGAATTATGTCCAGTGGTTCTAATTCAAAAGGGCCCATTTATCTTTGGAGAAGAATGGGCAGGAAACTGATAAGAAATCTGCCAATAAAACTGGCCATTATTCACTTAGATTTGGACTCCACAAAAGCAGATCCAGATGATGTAACTGCTGTGTGCTGTCTTGCAATGTGTATCTGGGATTCTTTTGGCTTATTGCCTCTCTCCAAGGAAGGGTTCTCTGCAGCATGAGGACTGACAGCTGCATGTTGAGATACCATCTGAGAATGGTATACTGTACATGAAAATCTAAACTTTTTGAAGAAATGGCTGGAAAACATTCCCACAAGTCTCTGCCTTTCTAACACTTTTTGCATCTGTAAATCTCCCTCGGACATTTCCCCACACCTCAACACTGTACCTGCAGTCCCACTGGTTTTCACCAGTCTGTTTTCTCTGTTCCCTCCACCAATCCCCAAAATGAAACAAATTATCACCTAGGTTTCCCCTAATCGTCCTGACTTGAGTAAGATTTTTTTTTCCGAGTCTCACCTCCCAAAGCTGAAGAATTTCAGAGAAGGAAAATTCTCTCTTGAACCAGATCAAGATCCATCGGAAACAGAAACATAAGGTGCCAGACTCCTTCGAGTCTATGGGAAGCAGGAAAAATAGGACAGAAACAAAAGCAAAAAATGGAATTATGCAGTTAGGTATTCATTAGCGTAAAATATGTTTTTTTAGTTTTTAAAAGAGTTGTAGGTCAAATTAAAGAAAGATGAAAAAGCCCCTGAATAATTAGATTTAACAATTTTTTAACATTACATGCAATAAAGAACAAAAACATAAACATCTCCATAGAAACAAGAGTCCCTTAATTTTTAACTTTTCTACACCTGTAATACACCTGTACCTAGGAAGTCACAGAGTGGGGGATCCAGCACTCTAAGAAGCAAGGTGAGCTGGGAAAGCTGGCGTTTCATGGACTCCTGGCTTTCTTCAAAATTGTGATGCTGCAAGCAGAAAACAGAAGACCATGAAAAAACGGGTGGGGAGAAGTAATTATTGTTAAGTAAATGTATACAGGTAGTCCTCGGCTTACAACGATTCTTTTAGTGACCGTTCAAAGTTACAGCAGCACTGAAAAAAGTGACTTATGACCGTTTTTCACAATACGATCGTTGCGGCATCCCCGCGGTCACATGATCAAAATTCAGACATTTGGCAACTGACTCATATTTATGATGGTTGCAGTGTCCCAGGGTCATGTGATCATCTTTTCTGACCTGACTAGCTAAATAAAGGAGGAAGCCAGATTATTCACCTAACTGTGTTACTAATTTAACAACTGCATTGATTCACTTAACAACTGTGGCAAGAAAGCTCATAAAATGGGCCAAAACTCACTTAACAAATATCTCACCTAGCAGCAGAAATTTTGGGCGATATTGTGGTCATAAGCTGAGGACTACCTATATACCAGCCTCTTCCCTAAAAGTAGTCCTCAAGGCTTAAAATACAAAACCAAGATTATAATCCAAACAGATTTTTTAAAAATGAAACTAGTAGCAAATCAAGTCAAAGACCCATAACTTTCCTGAATTTCATGCTGTAACTTTGAGAAATGTCTTAAAATGAGGGTAAGAGTATATTAATTAATTAATTATGGTTACAAGGAGTTTTTATTTTCCAACAAGTTGGGCTGACCCCGACAGTGTACTCACCACCAGTTCCATGAAACCACAGAAGCACCAGAAGGCGTCGACTTCATTCTGGGTGATCTAGAGAATGGGGGACAGGAGATCACTCATACCTTGTACGTACCCTGTTCAGGCAAGCAAAAGAAATAATGAGTTTTAATTTCTTCATTTGATGTGATTTTTCAAGCTTCAAATTAATGCTTATCTTTTCTGTGGGTGACTCTTTAAAAGAAGCTACACCTTTTCCTGGGCTCACACAGTTCCAGGAAACATGCCATTAAGAAGACAGTGATGAACACTCTCTCATTAATTCAAACGCATCTGGTGCTAGGCCACATGACTGCTAGCTCAGCCCCCCAAATTTGTGGCTTCTTTACGGAAACACTGACAGGTATAATAAGATGCCCATATTCCCTCTGAAGCACCTTTTTCTTTTCAGATCCATGTAGCTGCACATGATTAAACTGTATCTATTCCTTACTACCCATACTTCTGCTTCCTTCAATCTTTGTCCATTAAGCTTCCAGAGGGCAATAGTTTCAATATTAACCAAAAATCAAGAACATGGAGGCATGACCTCAAACAGACAAGAGGAAAGTGCAAAAGTAATGTTAGAAAATATTACTTCATAGAAAGAGTAATGGAAGCTTGGAACCAACTTTCAGTGGAGGTAGTGGGTCAATCATCACTAACTGAGTTTAAACATACTTGGGATAAATGCATGTCTATCATCTGACTAAAATAAATAAAAGTAAAAAAATAATGGCTACAAATAAAAATAAATTAATGATGGACCACTTGGTGTTTTTCTGCCATCAGTTTTCTGTGTTTCTATGCTTCTAAGAGCCCCCTCTTAAGCCATGATGACTTCAACTGGTGCTCTTGCTTGGAACTCACCTAGATCAAAGTTGTACATGCAGTATGTCATCAGCACATCATTCAACAGTACCAGTCCTGGATTCTCATTGCCCTCATAGAATTTGTTGTTTCTATCTGTGCGGCTGACATCTCTTTCTGCAAAGGCACCACGACAAGTTTATAAAACTCACCTGTACTGCCCCTTACAAGGGACATTCAGAAAGATAACTTAGGAAAGGAATTCATTTAAAAAAAGGCAAACTAAATCAGGAAAGCAAAGTAATAAGGAAAGATGGAGGCATTATACCCCAAGGAAAGAACAAATGGTCATATGCACAGCTTAGACGATTTAGATTAGAAAAAGGGTGTTCCAAAATATTAGGACAAGCACCAGTGGGATTCAATAGAAATTAAATTATGAATGAGGGTGCAGAAAAATCAGAAATGGAGAGATCAGACTCCTTGTCGTATAATGAGCTGTGGTGCAGTGGTTAGAATGACGTATTGCAGGCCGACTCTACCCAATGCCAGGAGTTCGATCTTGACCAGCTTAAGGTTGACTCAGCCTTCCTTCCATCCTTCCAAGGTCAGTAAAATGAGGACCTAGATCAGGGGTCTTCAAACTTGGCCAGGCATGCTGGCTGAGGAATTCTGGGAGTTGAAGTCCACAAGTCATAAAAGGGCCAAGTTTGAAGACCCCTGACCTAGATTGTTGGGAGCAGTATGCTGGCTCTGTAAACCACTTAGAGAGGGCCATAAAGCACTATGGAACGGTATATAAGTCTAAGTACTATTGTTATGATGTAGCATATAAGAACTTGGGAATCACTTACTGAACCTCATTGGCAACAGATTCAGGCCAGACCAAAGAAAGCATTTATTTAATGTATAATTCATTCATACAATATACTGTCAGAAGTAGTGGTGGTGGCTGCTATCTTGGAAAGCTCTAAAAGATTCTGTCTTCTGTGCACTGATTATTAACCAGAGCAGATAATGGGAGAAACCTCCGCATTCAAAGGGAAACATAGTTTTGCAATATTAGATACTGGGAAACAATAAAGGAAGAAAGGATTGTGTTTAGAAGCATCTGGCTGTAATACGAGGGTAGATAATATGAACAGAATGACCTTGCTTTAGGCCAGCAGTTCAGCATGGCTAAGAAAGTTGCGATTCCGGCCATTGGCAAAAAAGATGGGCAAAAACAAATCAGCCATGTGCTATTACTGAATGAGAGTAAACCTCAGACCAATCAAAACCAACAAGTAGAATTTATACCAACCGATAAGGCTGCGATAACCCCGCAGTAAAAAGTTCCGCAGCTCCTGTTCCTCGCTGACCGACTTCCATTGTAACTTCATGCGGAAGTATTCGTCTCTGAGGAGAAGGATGAAGAGTGGAATGGAAAAATGCTCAGACTCGGGTCACCCCTGCAGACCTAAAAGTCCTTGCCAAGCCCCAGGACTAGTTCTCCTTGAAACAGGCCACTCCCTGATGATGAATTTAGGCTTACGTTTTCCGTCTCACTTGCGCCTTGTTCTCCTCGCTGGTGTTGCCCCAGGAATAATAGTTCAAAAGATACTTCCACACTTCCTTACGTAATGACATGCTGAGACCCTGAAAGGGACAAAAAAAAAGTAATTCAAAGAAAGGAACCAACGAGCCAAGTTATTATAGAACAAAGCACCTATCTGCATCAATTCCAGGGCTTAAATCAGTGGTAAGAAACACAGTACAGGTGGTCCTCAACTTGCAAGTGTTTGACGTTATGACAGACACACACACCCCAATTCAAAGTTCAGACAGTCACATAATCACATTTTGGGCATTGGCAACCAGCCTGCATTTAGGGCTGTTTGCAGTGTCCTGCAGTCACATGACCATGATTTGTGAGGTGGTTTTTTTTCTTTTTGCCAGAAACTGGCATTTACTTCCAGTTTCCCGCAAAATAATGCCAAATGTGGACAATGGATTGACTATACAACAGTGCTTCCTTTACAACCGCCACATTCGCTTTCAAACGTCCTAAGTTGAGGACTACCTGTATCGTACTACTCTCATCAGTTTACATGGACATTCCAATAAACAGCCACTATAATCTCCTCTTGTTTTCTATTCTAGAAACATAAGGCATGCTGGTCCAGCTGTCCACCTTCCCACAAATCTCACCCCAGCAAAGATCCTCTTCCGCAACCCATTGGGATCCAGTACACGTCCATCAGGATCCAGATGCTGTTCCCATTCCTGTTCCGTAACAGGGGTTTCCCTTTGAACAGAAGGCCATTCTCCTAGTTGTGCCTGCTGCTAGGAACAAAGTAAGCTAAAAAAACCAATTGTATCTGAAGAAGAAAAGGTCCTTAAGAGGGAAGGAGGGAGAAAGTATAATGATTAAAAGTTTCCTTTTGAATTAAAGGGGTGTTGTAAAGCTGAAGAGCCTAAAGAACTATTTCTATATTCAAATGTGCCTACATATTGCAAATTCTTTTCACACTGAGAAGTTCTAGAAGCACTTCCCCAAAGTTTCATAGCAGTAGATCTAGCAAACAATGGAGAAATTGTGTTGTGGATCTGTTAACTACAGTGGCACCTTGGTACTCGTCAATAATTAGTTCTGGGAGGCGCAATGGATACTAAAAACAATGAGTTCCAAACAAAGCATGTAATTAATATGTGATCCTTTGTTTTGGCTGGAAAGAGTTGTGAGTCACAAGACAGCCGACACCGACAAGTTCTAGCATGAGTGCCAAACAAATGAGAAGTACTGGGACAAACTTTTCGTATCAAAATGAATTGAGTAAAGCAATCGAGTACCAAGGTACCACTGTATTTTCTTTTATTTAATCATTTTTTACTTTTAAGAGCATAATCTTTTGAAGGAAGCTTATAGAGTAAATATATTAGCATAATATAACTATCTTCAATATAATCAGCTCTTCAAGCCAGTTCCAAGTATGACACATTTTAAAATACCCTCAACAAATATCACAAATGTAAGGTTTTAAATCCTCTTAAGAGCAACCACAACTGTCATTTTTGCTGGAAGGAATCTATAAGTTAAGGGCTATCACCCAGAAGCTGCATCTTCTCAGTCCTACAAAATTTAGTGATCTTGGACGCTAGCTGCTACTACTACAGCAGCTTCACACTGGGTGTCAAGTTTTTTAGCCCTCATGAATCACTTGTGTAGTCACTCCACTGATGGAAAGACTAGATCAGGCAAAATTTGACACTCTGATACACGAAGATATGAAACTGACAGATGCATGTGTAAACATGACAAGGCAGCACAAACCACTTTAGCAAACTAGCTGCCATTCCTCCTACGCATTGTTTTGCAGATCTGCTCTAAGGTGGACACTGGTCCTTTTAAGTTTCTGTGTTTAAAGACAGTCTGGTTGACTTTTGATTAAGGGAAAGGGATTTCCTTCAAAGAGTTCATTTGTAATCTGCTACTTCTGCAGTGTCCCACTTGTTGCTTTTCTACAAGCTCTCCCCCCACAACATAGCCAAATCTTCAGCAACTCTATGACAGTTGGAGGAAATGGGTGGCAGAAAGGATAACCAACCATTCCTTGAGCCAGAAAAACACCTCTTCCCCTTTGACCGGTTGCCATTTCTCCTACTCTCTGCCAGCCCTCAAAAATTGCCTATTTCAACACTCACACAGGTGATGACTTCAAAGCCCGTCTCTTCCTCCACATTGGCAGCCGCTGAGTCACTATGGGAATGGTGGGCGAGTCCATCTTCCTGGTGCAGAGCTCCACGGAAGAAATTGGTAACTTTGGAGAAGCCACCAAAGGTGGCAGCATAAGGATCCTGCAGGAATCACTAGGAGGAAAAACAACCATGTTTACAGCTACAGGCGGAGCTCATTTACTGACTGTCTCATTTAGCAACCATTCAAAGTTACAAAGGTGTAAAAAAAAAACCAGCTTCGCAACCAGCAAACACTGTAGCATTCCAGTCATGTGATCACCATTTGTGTGCTTCACAACTGGCTTGCAATAAGCAGAGTTCATAGAGAAGGTGGAAGTAAAATCATTAAGCCACAGTCACATGATGTTTCGCTTAGCAATTGTAACACTTGGCAGTAGAGTTGCCAGTCCCAATTTTTGGTCGCTAAGGGAGGACTACCTGTTAAACTTCACTGCATCAAATCCATGTTGCATATTATTCATAATACCTAATTAATCTGTGATCTAGGAGTGTTCGGTGCTAATCATCTCAGTAGCACTCATGTATCTGAATCTCTGCAGTTAGTACTCAGGATATAATCACAGCCCTCTCCAATGTAGTTTATGTTCTTCCAATGTAAATAGCTGCTGGTGGTGTGAAGAGCTACTGAAGTGGCTAAACCACTTTTTCAACTATCAGTCTATAATCCACTTCCTGGAACTTGAACTCAAATCATGTTTGCCCAGAACCTGATGGTGCAACTTTACACATTCAATCATTAACAGAGGGATAGAATCAAGATCACATGAAGTCTTAATACTGCCTTATAAAGCCTTGGTAAGACACACCTGGAATACTGCATCCAGTTTTGGTCATCATGATATAAAAAAGATGCTGAGAATCTGGAAAGAGTGCAGAGAAGAGCAACAAAGATGACTAGAGGACTGGAGGTTAAAACATGAAGAAAGATTGCAGGAATTGGGTATGTCTAGTCTGGTGAAAAGGAGGACTAGGTGTGACATGATAGCAGTGTTCCAATATTTGAGGAGCTGCCATAAAGAAGAGGGGGTCAATTTATTTTCCAAAGCACCGGAAAGCAAGACAAGCAATGGATGGAAACAAACCAAGGAAAGAAGCAACCTAGGACTAAGGAGAAATTTTCTAACAGTGAGAACAATTAACCAGTGGAACAACTTGCCTCCAGAAGTTGTTGGTGCTCCATCACTGGAGGCTTTTAAGAAGAGATTGGACAGCCATTTGTCTGAAATGGTATAGGGTCTCCTGCTTGAGCAGGGGTTGGACTAGAAGACCTCCAAGGTCCCTTCCAACTCTGATGATGTTCTATGCTCTATATTTCTAGTTCTATGCAATCTTTGTAGATATTCTTTTGGATGCAGGAGTTGAAAAACAGTACAAATAAAAATATCCGGTCTGCTTGAGTTTTCAAAAAATCAAAGACACAGTTCTGGATTCTCACTTGCTGGCTTATCATCTAACTCAGTATTTCTCAACTTTGGCAACTTTAAGATATCTGGACTTCAACTCCAAGAATTCCCCAGATATCATGGCTGGCTGGGGAATTCTGGGAGTTAAAGTCCAGACGTCTTAAACTTGTCAAGGATGAGAAACATTGATCTAACTGTTTAAACTAATTCCATCTCCCTGCTAAAGAGTGTGCACAACACCTTTATTGTGGATTTGATCCCTTTTGATTGAAAATCATGCACATAACTATTCCCAAAGCATTCCAGCATTCCTAAACCAAGGCTTCTGCCTCAAACAAAGAAACCCCATGTTAATAGCTTGTCCTTTTTTCCCCACAAAGCCCCATTATTCTGTTTTTAGTTTTCCTTCATTCCCTTTCCACGGTATGTGACTCCAGATAAGTCCCTTCAGAAAACAGTCTTACCGATACTAGATTTGATGAACTGTCATCAAAGAGTTGAAGCTCATCAAAGGAATGAGAAAGGGCGTCTGAATCATGTATATAAACCAGGTAGAGCCGAGAATCTTTGGGAGAGCTACAAGAAAGAAAACAAAAGGAAATGATTTTTTTTTAATCTGGAGGAGGGTTTCAACATTGGGATATATGATATTGTTGGGTCCATTATATTTTTTCATTGTTTTCAAGAATTAAAATTATCATAGTATAAAATACAGATGAAAACAAAGATGACAGGAAAAATGGGGAAGAAAAGGGAAAGAAAACTGTAGGGCAAAGGGGGAAAGAAAAATGAAAGCACCGACTTCCAACTTTTTACAGTACAGGAAAGTACAGAATAGAATTACAGCCTCAACTTTTTACTTTACCAACTTAACAAGTACTAGCCATTTCTATAAAAACAAACTATATTAATCAGCATCAAAGTTCTTTTTTTTTCTGTCTCAAGCACAAAGTCTAGAAGCAGTTTCCAAGTAGAAACAACGCTGTATATGTTCTTTCTAACTAAAACAGTTTTGCCATTTCTGCTAGCACCATCACTTTTTCCATCCTTTCTTCTGTTATGGGATTGACGTAACTTTCCAATTCTGTGCATATAGAATTCTCACTGCTATCAACACCTACAATAACAAAGTTCCAGATCTTCTTTTCTAACTCCTGTTGGGTCCATCATGTATTATAAAGTCCTTCTGGAACTATTCTACTTCTAACTACAGTTGGAGATTCCTATATTTTAACTGCTCTTTGCTACACAAAGAAAACTAGCACATTAGAGGAACTGCTTTTGCTTTACTGTTTCCCTTAAGTACTACAGAGCAAGGTTCCTTTACATGCAGGAGCAAAACTGTATGTAATTAGAATGCTTAGAAACTGCATTTCTCTTATAAACATGTCCATAACCTGCATCACATGCTATCTGCTCTACTAATCTGAAGCTACATAGAATAGTCTCTAAAATCTAAAACTGGTTCTTATTCAGTTGTGAAGAAAGCATTTGATTCATTTGAACAGGACGGGGGAAAGGGCACCCCATAGTCACTCAGCCCTTCAGATGACTACAAGAAATCCCAAATAAACCAGGATAACCAGATTTCACTTACTGTTGCTTCTCAGAATATCTGGGCTTTACTTGAAACTTAGCCAGCACTTTGCTCAAAGCATCCAAAAAAATAAAGAATAATGTCAACCTTGACTCCCAGACCTTGACTTCATGGACAAATTCAAATGGTTTCCTTGCTAACAATGTAAAAGTGGTTTGCTACTGCTTTCCTCCTGGATGTTTTTCCTCATTTCCTAACTTAATCTATAGCCTTGGGGATGTCCTGGTATCTAACAAAAAGGCTTTCAAAATTCACTTTCAGAAGCTGATATTAGAAAACATTCCCCCCTTCCATGCAATAAGTTTAAACCAGATGGAGAATATAAACAGAGGTTGTGGTGTAATCTCACTCACGTGGCTAATATAACGTATTTGCAAAGAGCTTTGAGAAGGGCCTTTGTGCCTCCACGGTGAAAATGCAGAGCTTGAATGGAAATGCCTTCTTTGGTGATGAAGATGAGATACGACCAACCGAGGCCTGGCTTACTCTTACGGATGGATTTCAGCTCAGACAAGCTGAGAGAGAAGGCCCACTGACCTCGAGGGACTGGAGATTTTGGCCCAGAAACTGGTAGAGGAAAACAACACAGGAAAAGCATAGTGACAAAGGACAGAAGAAACAATCCTCTGGAAACAAAATGTCTAGCTGCCATCTTTATCTCATCCCCATCTTCCATTCCTCATTGCAACTTCATCAGTAAACCTAGATACACACAACTGAAATTCGTAAAAGGAAGCTAGTACTTCTTCTTTCAATTTACCAGCTGTTTCCTCCTGGACCCGAGACCTCGTCCCCACTGTACTGATTACAGCCCAGTCTGGTTCATATCCTGGATCAAAGTGTTCTTCCTCGGCTTGGGAGCCAATGGTATCCTAGTAAAGAGAAAACAAGTTAAAGGACATTTCTATGTTTTTAAATATGTCCCTCACAGTGTCTTCAGGGCAATGCTCCTTTAGGCCCTGTTCTCACCAAGAAACATCTGAGCAAGAAAAGAGAAGTACAAACTTTTCTTGTAAAGTAGATACTGATTTGAATTTGAATCTACTAAAATAGAGGATCTGATTCCTAGGAATCGGAATAAAGGAACTATACAAGGGGAATTGTGGCAAAAAATCAATAGTCTGATACCATCTTTTCCAACTAACAAATTTTATTGAATTCTCACGCCACTCACGAAAGCTTATTCCATTCAACCAAATTTGTTAGTCAGAAAAGGTGCTACAAGATTCTTTCAGAACAGAGGACAACAATGAGACAGAATTCCAGCAGTTCACTCAACATAACCTTTCTTATGAGGAAAAAAGGAGTGCATTTTGTCCATAAAGAACATAGAAACCATAAAAAAAAATCTTTCTCCACCCTGAAGAAGCCACATAAGACTACCAAATGCTTTCTTAACTTTGATCAACCTTTCCTGAACATTTCTTCTGGTTTATGTTATCATATGAGACAGTTTCTATTCAGTAAACTCCCACAATATCTCTATTTGGCAACTAGAAGAAGGACTACTGTCTGTCTGCAGAGCAGAAGAGAACCACTAAGCATCTAGCCTAACTTCCCTAATTACCAATTTTATGTTGAAAAAAGCACAAAGTATACTTGCATTTGGGTCCTAAAAATATTAAAAGCATACAAATATTTATTCAATGTTTCAGATCTATCCAAACCTGCTGGGTAAGACACTACAAGAATAGCCGTACATGTAGTTCTCAACTTATGACCAGTCACTTAGCAACCATTCAAAGTTCCAACAGACCTACTTGGGGGGGGGGGGTATTTATGATGCAGATTCAAATTTCTTACGGTCACTCCTACCTGCATCACGATTGCACTTTGGGTGCTCTGCAACCAGGCCACATTTACAACTGTTTGCAGCGCCCCACTGTCACATGATCACGTTTTACCAAAAATCCAGCATTTACTTGTTTTTTGGGCAAAATTGCACTCATAGCAAACCACTGATTTGTTTAATGACTGCTGCAAAAAAGGTTGTGAAATCATGTCTGTATTGTGACCGACCCATTTTACAACTGTCACAAGTTATAACCGTGATGGGCAGGCTCCGTTATGATACAGGACTATAATAATTCTGGTAGAATTTAAGGCATATATAATTGAAACCCAAGCATTGTTTTATATTCTTGTAACAATTTTCCTCAAGAGGTTAAGGGTCTTTTTTTTTTTACTGTTAGATAGACCGAAAAGATACCACAACATATTGCTCTGCAAAGAACAAACAACTCATACAGTGCTTGATAAAAAAAAAAACTACTAATCTAAAGAAATGTATTTTTACTTCTGCCAACATATTGAGAGCAAATATATTGCAGAGTTTAATACATATAGGCAGAGGATTAAATCAGCAGAAAATCTTACCTTTTTGGTGTACATGATTTGAGCAGTATCTGAAGATTCGTCCACAGGGGTCCATTGTAGTAAAGTATCTGAGCCCTGAATAAAAAGAAAAAAGCATAATAAAATATCCCCACAAAATCTCTCATTCCAAAAACTTGAATTTCAAACTTTGAAATGTAAGGAATCAAAGGAGTGTTCACTTTCATGTGTTTCCTCCTTGAAAAGCAATTGATGCATAAATACTGAAATGCTGCTCATGCCCCACGTTGTTTTCTAAAATATCATCACAACCTGCTTAATGCTTTTTGATATACACTGCTTAAATCACAAAGTGCTGGAAATTTAGAATTTCTTGTGAAATAATTAAATCTTTTATGTGCAACATAATCTACTATTTGTGCACATGCATTAACATACCATACAGGTAGTCTTCATTTAACAATTGCCTCATTTAGCTGCCTTTTGCAGTTACGATAGTGATAAAAAAGTAACTTTGCAACCAGACCTCACATGTACAGCTTTCTCAGGTCTGCAAAGCAAAGGAAAACTGAAGTAAGACCATAACATTGTGATCTTAAGTAACACATTTTTTTAACGACCTAGTTGCCAGTCCCAATTGTGGTCATTAAATGAGGACAACTTGTAGTATGAACAAACTGTTAAACCCTTGGACTCAAATATGACGCCGCCACTCTTCTGACCAGTTTTGTTCAAATGAATCCTAACTACCTTTAACCACAATGTCGCAATGAGTCAATATGACAAAACTACAAAAGCCTCAGATTCTTCCTCAGGCATCAAAAAAAGGAAAAGAGAAAAGTCTTGAGCCTGCTTTGTCCATTCATTTAACGGTAAATAGGACTGAACACAATGCCCCAATATAACCAATATCCCAATGTAACCAATTTTCTCACCACGACCACATAGCCTCCTGCTTCAGTTTACAATCCAATCGGCAACCTGTCTCGACCCACCTTCTCAATGATGCGGATAACTCCTGGTATGAGGGAATCTTGGTCAGGATGCCGCTTTGCACTGGTGTGTAAATAGACCCCATCTTTCTCAAATGCAACCTGCAAAAAGTCAGAAGAAAAGGAATGGAAGGGGCAGGAAAAGAACCAGAATTCCACTCTTCCAGGTTTTTTTCCTCCAATGTGCAGCTCAGGTAACCAGATCCAAGCTCCTTTAATGGTTTATTGTGAAAGCCTCAAAACAAATCCAAAACAAAAGGGGGAAAAACCACCATTTTATATAACCGTAACGCTGATAACCAACCTCTATATACTACGGGGGGGGGGAAGGGGGGAGTCTCAATACATCTAGGAGGAATATCACGTCTCCCTGTAACTTCCAAGACGGATAAAAGCACATTTCCCCATTTCTAACAAACCAGAGTTTCCATACGGAGTGACACAGCCGGCCCTCGACTCCCGGGAAATCCTTTTCAGCTCATGCTGGGATTAAAAAAAAAACCCAATCCCCTTTTCCTTTGACAGCCCGTTTTTTGCTTCGCAGAGCCTAAGGAGCACCCTCCTGGAGGATTAAAGGCCTCTCTTACCCTGCAGCCCCCTAACTCCATTCTGCCTGACAGCTACTTCCTGAAAAACAAACACGTCATTTCCTGCTCCGATTGACCCGATTGGGTTTGTTTTTTAAAAAAATATGTCTTGAAGCCGTCATCATTGTTTCTGGCGCGGAAAAAGCTCAAGCTGGAACGGTTGAATGTCTCGTTTGGAAGCACACATGAAGCTTTTGGCGCCATCTTTGAAAAGGTCAAAGTGGCTGGCTCTTTAAACATGACTTTATCTGTACGTTTTCTGCCAGTATGCAGGTAATATTAAATAATTATGCCCCCGGTTAAGGAATGCTTATACATTCGAAGAACTTAATAAGGTACGAAATAGAAAATATATTTTATGATTTAACTAGGGAGCTGGCACGTGGAAGCATCTGGGTGATTTTGGCCTCGGAAGTTAAGCCTGGGGTCCATGCAGGACGGTTTGATTGGCAGCCTGTTAAGCAATATCAAGACTAGATATGGGGGGGCGGGGGACAGAAAAAAATAATGCCAATAAATTTTTACCAAGAAAATTGGGTCTATGAAATATTTAAAGCTCATCTAAAGTTTATCTTGCAATTATTACAAAGGGACGCACTCGAAGCGAGGGAATTTTATTGAATGAAATAATATATAAAATTAATCTTGCAGCGGAGAGAAAGTGAATCCTTCTCCTATCTTAATAGATGGGGGAAGAGTTTTCTATCAAATGACAAATAATTTACACACTTAGAGTTTTCGAGTGGGATGCTTTCTGAGACTTCAACTCCCAGAATTCTTAGCACCCCTGTTGGCTGTGGTGTTCTGGGAGTCGAGATTCACATACTGTTGTGTCCTGAGCCTGCAATAGCAGGCTCGGGACGTTGTCATGGTAACGGGCTGTTGCAAAGCTGCCCGGGACCAGACAAAGCGGCGCCAGCCTGCACGCATGCGCGAGGTGCAAAGCGCGCCATTTTCCCTGTATCTTTTTTACCCGGGAAACCTGGCCATTGAAAAGGAGGAGAGAGGCCTGCGAGCCTCAGAGTTGTGATGGAGCAATTGGAAGGAGAATAAAGAACTTGTTGCTGACAGTATGTTTGCCTTTCATTCGCCACTAAGACAAGGACTTAACACTGGCGACGAAGGTGGGATCGTCTTGCAAATTAAAAGAAGAAAATTGTAAGACTTACCCAAAGGAGTCCTTGAAGAAGGAAGACGGCGTTAAATTCAGCATCTGGCCTGCCAGTACAGCGTCACTGGAGGTAAGCTGGCTGATAGACCCCTTCCTGCATAGCAAGCAAGAATGGCAAAGATTGGGAGGCTGTCAAAATTCGACGTAGCTCGCCCAGAGAGATGGGAGTCTTATGTTGCTAGAGCAGAGACTTACTTCAGAGTAAATCAAGTTAGAGAAGATGGCTTGAAGGCTGCAACCCTACTGTGTGTCTGCGGTCAGGATGTGTTTGAAATTGCAGAAAACTTGGCAGCCCCTGCTCCTCTAGAGTCTGTAACATACACAGACTTAAAAAATTTATTGAAAGAGCATTTCCAGCCAGAGATGTCTGTCATTGCATGGAGACATACCTTTGAACAAAGGGACCAGAGGGCAGGAGAATCAGCCAAGGAATTTATTGCAGCATTAAGAAGAGCAGCCAAACCATGTGACTTTAAGGATTTAGAAAGAAGACTTAGAGACCGTTTTGTATGCGGTTTAAGGAACAGAGGGCTGCAACAAAAACTCTTTGCAAGGAAGGACCTCTCGTTCCAAGATGCTTTGAGAGAGGTGACAGCTGAAGAGGCAGCAGGTGGGGCAGTCAAACACATGCGGCCCATCAAGAACAATTCAGAAGAAGTTCCTGTGCACCATGAGGAAGTCCAAGAAGGCCCGGAAGAAGATCCTGAAGAAGAGGTGGATCATCTTTTCCCATCTAAAGATGGAAAGAAGAAAGGAAGCAAAGACAAAGCTCCAGCTGGGCCTAAATGCTTCGGGTGCGGAGGCCGCCACAAGAGGGCCAACTGCAGGTTTCGTTTAGCCGTCTGCAGAGCGTGTGGAAGGCAAGGCCACATAGCAGCCGTTTGTCTAGGCCAAAAGAAGGTACAACTTCGAGAAGAATTGCATCTGAAAGGTACCAGGGTCCCCAGCCAAAACAGGGTGGGCTTCTGCGCGTTGCGCAGGAGTGTTTGCAGAACAGGCACACACAAACCTCTTAAAAAGAAGTTGTCCCTTAAGGTGAGGCTGCAAGGAATTCCATTAGTTATGGAGCTGGACACTGGGTCCGCTCTTTCAATCATTTCCTTTCATACATTCAGGAAGATTTGCAATAGCAGTGGGTTTCAGGCTAAACTTAGGCCTTCCAACATAATCTTAACAGACTTCCAAAACTCCAAGGTGTGCGTAAAGGGGGAGGCCACCCTTACTGTACAACACAAGAGTTTTGAGGGTCCCTTGGATGTGTTGGTTGTTGGGGGTGACAGAACAAGTCTTATAGGACTCGATTGGTTTGAGGCCTTGGGAATTCAGGTTACTGGCTTGCATAGTTTGCAAACGTTAAGCCTAGCAGAAGTCTGTGAGGAGTTTGCAGATGTGTTTAGTTCACAGCTTGGATCCTTTAAGGGGCCTCCAGTCTCCTTACGACTTGACCCCAACATCACACCTATTAGGGTTAAAGCTAGAAGAGTACCCTTTGCATTAAAAGGGAAAATTGATGTTGAGTTGGATAAATTGATCCAACAAGGCATTTTAGAGCCTGTGGATTCAAGTCCATGGGAAACACCCATAGTAACGCCTCTTAAGGCTAATGGGGATATTAGAATATGTGCTGATTACAAGTGCACTATTAACAAGGCACTACAACAGCATGCTTACCCTGTACCAGTAGTCAGCCACATTTTGGCTTCCCTCAAGGGGGGGCGAGTTTTTGCAAAGCTTGACTTGGCACAGGCTTATCAACAGTTACCTGTTGATCAAGCGGCTGCCGAGGCACAGACCATTGTAATGTATAGGGGTGCATTCAAGGTCAAGAGACAAATTCAAGAGAGATGGCGAATTGATAAAAAAACTGCTTCTTTTATGGAAAATGGGAACTTTTTGAAACAAGTAAGGGATGATACTAAAGGACATATTAGAAGGATATATAATGTTTTACTAGAATTGGATTCAGAAACTGAGTTAGTTAAAGATTGTATGATTAAATGGGCTCAAAATATAGGAGAAATAATAC